CCCACACAATTTGGTGTCATCTGCAAACTTACTGAGGGTGCGCTCGATCCGCTCGTCCAGATCATTGATAAAGACTTCTCGGGAAAGCTCAGACAGTACAATTATGAGATCTCTATATGTAACTAGACAAAGGGAAAAAGCAGGTTCCTCAGCAGGAGGTGAAGCAGAACAGGTCTTTGAGAACATGTGGTTTAGGATAAAGGCAAAAAAAAAAAAAAAAAGGAGGGAAGGGAAATAAAACCTCTTTTCCTTCTGGGCTTGTACAGTGACTGGGGCCGAAGGATCTCCCATGGTATATGCAGTAACTCAAAGCACCCTGGCAAACGGAGGGTGAAAAGAGCCCAGAGGATCTGGGGATGTGGAGAAGAGGGCTGAAAAACCCACAGGTTTCTGCAGAACGCGAGAAGGTAAAGCTGTGCTGAGCATTTGCGTGCCCAGAGAAGACCACTCGGCACTCCCTGTCACAGGGTCCTTCATCCGCTTGTTACTTTTACATCTACTTTTACATCTAAACGTGCAGCTTGGAACTGGGCCGCTTTGTTTGCATCAGGCTGAAACTCTGGAAGAGCATCAGCCAGAACATTGAGCTGCTTCTGAGAATGAGGCCAGCAAGTGAAAAGCACATCCTAGCAAGGGATGCTTCCCAAAGCGGCTCACGTGTCCCCGTGCTTCCGAGCAGGGACCTGGAGCGACAGGATGGCGACAAGGACGCCCCTTTTGCTGCGTCACAAGAAGCCTCACATTTGGCTGACAGAGAAAGCTGTGAAAAATGTCACTTGACATACTCATGGAAAAGCCTTTTAAGAACTTTGTCGCTAACGCCATCGAAGCTTGCCTGCACTACGCATGCTCCTGCTCATCTCCACTTCAAGGCTGACCAAACGCGCTACCTCGCCGAGCGACGCGGCACCGTACAGGTGATCTGCACGCCCTAGCCAGCCCACAGCTGCTTTTCCACCCTACTGCCCATGTACTGCAGCTTCTTCTGCATGCGTGCCATCCATCTGCCTCCGCTGCCGTTCAGCTCCCGCGCTGACCTTTGAGGCAAGCCTGGCAGAGACCACGGCGAAGGCAGGATCTTGCCCCCGGCAATCCCCAGCAAGCAACAAAAGCCCAAGCCCACCTCTAGCCCCGGCCTCTGCGCAGCGCTCAGCGAAGCTCTGCGCTTCTAACTCACATGTACTAGGGACCTCCATGCTTTCCTCTTCTTCAGAGCCCTCGTGGCTTTCAGCCAGAGTCTCTTCGTATTTACTCCACGAGCTGTCATCGGGACCAGGAAAGGAAAACTCTGTGCACAAGAGAAAGAACGACAGGAGTTCACGCGCACGCTTCCCAGCTGCTTTACAGAGGATTTCAGGAGAGCTGGCCACATCGGGCAAGAGCCAACTAGGAAAGCAAAGTCACCCCTGTAGCCAAGGACAGAGCTGGCAAAACTCAACAGCAGAGGCAAGTGGAAGAGCGCAGGCGGGCAGCGGCAGCCACGGGCCTGCTTTCCACCTCTCCGCTGAGTCTGAGGAACCTTATGGCTCACCGGTGCTGGGGTCTGTAGGGGTGTCTCCTCCCTCAGAGTCGTCCTGATCCTCCGCGTTGGGATCCTCTCCTTGCTCGATCCGCGACAGGAGGTCAGGCTTTGAAATGGCAGCATCTGCACATAAAAAGAGGATCAGAACGTTTCTTCTGCCCTTGCAAGAGAGAGACTCTCAAACCTTCGCCCACCAACCTTCCTTCGCTGCTGGGGATGACGGGTAATGGAAAGAGAGGCTTAAGAAGATGCTCTCACACATCTGCACCGCTCACCTTGTCTGGGCCCTGGGAACATGAGCGGATTGCAGGAGCACACTCTGCTCAGGTGAGGAGCACCTCCCAGCCTGCAGCGTGAGGAGGAGAATAAGAAAATGCATCTGTGCTTACCTCCAGGCTTCCTTTCTTCTCCTCTCTGCTAAGGTCCGCGGATCCATTACAATGGGGACTTCAGCTCAGGGACAGCACCAGAGCTGTCAGCCAGCGGCAGCAGGGGAAGGCCCCTCCCCATACGGATCCCTCCAGCCAGGACCGCTCCATCCTACTCGTCCGAGTCACAGGCTGCTTGCGGATTTTGGTGGGGGAAAGGGGACAATCACAACCTCTCCTAGGGCGGAGAGCGGAAAACTTCATTTCCAAACAAGTGTGAGTCTCTGGGTATTAATTTCCACTGCCGCTCTGGTGGATCCGTTTGCCTTATATGAAAGCCAAACCCCTAAACCTCATTACTCAAAGGAAACCTTCAGATGAAGCACAGATACATTTTTCTAAGCTCCAGGCTCAGATCCACAGATCCCCATCAGTGGAACCGTTACAATTTTTCTAAGCTCCAGGCTCAGATCCACAGATCCCCATCAGCGGAACCGTTACGCTCCTGCGCCTCTAGAGTAGGGCGCAGGGTTAGGTTTTTAAACAGCAGAATGGGGGGCTGTATTTATCCTTCACATTTTTCCCCTTGCACGCAGGGACTGCAGAAGATCTCTGTCCAAAAAAAAATAAAGGAAGAAAGAAAAAAAAAAAAAAAAAGGACAAAAGGCCTGGATCACCCAGAGCGGGATGGCAGGTGAGCCTGCACGCCAGTGGCCTCAGCACAGGGAGGAGACGCCTGTCTACCAGGGCCTGCGTCCGCGCTCCCACCCACGGCAGGCAGACGTCCAGCTGAGGCAAGGTCATTTCTCAGAACACACGTAGGTGCTCATGAAGGCAACATGTCCCCCAGAGGGAATCCCCGCAGCCGGGACTGGAAGGAGCGAGCAGAGCACGTTCGTTTAGCTGTGAACGTGCTGCCCTGAGCTGCTGGAGGGGAAAGCAGAAGGCAGAGCTCGCCTTCGCCTGCTGCTTCTCCCCAGCTCTACCCCCGGCAACGCAGGAGCAGATACCGCAACAGCTTGCAAAAGAATCGTTCCCTGGGATGAGGGGAGACAGAGCACCAAGGCAGGCAAGCCTGGCTCCCCTCCTTCACGAAAGGCTCTGAAGGACCGATCGCCCACCGAAAGGGCTGGAAGGACCCTCAGAGGCAGGGCACCCCTCTGCTGCCCGAAGCGGCGAGCAGGCTGATGCACCCAGCGCAGTGGATCTGTGGATCTTTGCATGACAAAGAAACTCCCCTCTTCCCCGTCTTTACTTGGCTCGAGGGTCCTCTCGCTTCCCCTCCTCCTCACGACCCAGGTGCTCGCTCGGCTCCTACCGGCCACAGAGACCGTCAGGGAGTCGCAGTCACTGCGGCGACGCTCATGACGTCCATCACCACTCAAATGAACTAGTGAGGACTGAACTAATTGCCAGGGCTGCTATCGAAAGCCGGCAGAACGCGTTCCCAGACCAGCACACCATCCACCCTCCCTGATCCCGCCAGGCACAGCGGTGCTTCCATCCGCCAGGCCCTGGGAAAACCTGGTGCAGCAGAAGGCTCAGGGCGAACCCTAGCCCGACTTTACCCATCGAGATGACGGCCTCGTAGTTGCCTTTCATGATATGCCTGTAAAGCTCCTTCTGCCACTCATTCAAGCTCTTCCACTCTTCCTCAGAGAAGTTAAACGAAGCGTCGTTGAACGCCACGGGGACCTGCAATTAGAAGCGTCAGATGTTTTACTTCTTGTCGAAGAAAACAGCCGGGGATGTTTTCTCATTCAAACTCCTCACGCACTGCACAAGACAGTTCCACGCAGCAACGCCCGCTCCTTCCCACGTGCCTCGCTCGTCCCCCGTGCCTGGCTCAGGCAGCTTCACCCCTGAGTTCTCCCTCGTCACCTGCCTGCACCTCGCCCCCTGCTCAGCCCCCTCGCGCTGCGGCCGACGTCTCATGCACATTGTCCGACGCTGACTCTTTTCTCGCTTCGTTTTTGACGCGGTTCTGCCACAATTGCCTCTGAAGAGGAACTGGGCACGTGTTCCCAAACCGGGGCAGGCACGCAGGTCCAAGCCACGTTATTCCGCACGGCTCCAGCCAGGCTGAGGAGCCTGCGACCCTGCACAGAGCGGCCGATGCTTTTTGGCAAGGCTCACGCACATAGGACGAGTGGTGTGCAATTAACACAAAGGGACCCGCGCTGGTGCTTCTCGCCGAGCGCTAAAAGAAAGACGCCGCTGCAGGGAAGCTGTGTCCCGCTCAGCACTGCAGCTGCACCGAAACAGGGCTGCGAGCACAGGGTACGAGCGGAACAACCCGGTTTCAAAGGTGGAGCGGAGCAGAGAACCGTTACCTTGGGGACTTCCCCCTTCGCCCCCGGGGGCAGCCGCAGG